GCACCCTAGCTTGTGGCGGAACTGAGGCCGCTAGCCAGGCAGCTGAGGAGCGCTCGGTCCACGCCCTACACACAGCTGCCTCTGTGTCCTCATTTCAGAGGCCCTGGGCAAGAGCTGCCTCCTTACTCCCAAGGGCAGGGCTACAGCACACTTGGGGCTGAGTCCCCTGCTCATGGACCAGGCTAGGAGTACTGGTGGGTGGGCTTTCTGGAGTTCAAGGGATGCCTGCTGCCCACCCCTCACTGCCAGGGAGTAAAGGGTCCCCACGTTCTGCCAACAGCCTGTGTGGGGGCAGACAGGGTGGACAATGGCAGCTGTCGGCCGCTCAGTGGCTCTTGATTCTGCTCAATGGTAGTAGGACCCAAATGTGAAGTCACTGTTCCAGGGCATCAGTAGCTAAGGGTTGCTAGCCCTCCCGGTACCGCCTTTCACAGAGTCCCAGTGTTGGCTTCTACGTGGCAAGGGACTCCAGTTTATGGACCTGTCTTGGCCCCACATCCCAAGAGCACTGGGTCTCCAGCACTCCCCTCTCCCCCAAGGCAAGAATGGAGTGCCTCTAGTGCCCACAGGGTGAGCCCCCCCAGCCACTGAAGAGGGATGCCAGGGCAACAGTTGGCCTCCGTCTCCAGCTGACCTCCAGCCAGTATCCTGCAGCAGGGACTGGGCCCTTGGAGTCCCATCGTTCTCCACAAGGCCTGCTTGGGGCCCAGGTATCCCCTCCAGAAGAAGAGATGTGCCCAGTGCTGGACTCCAGAGGCCTCAGAGGGCAGAGGAAGCCGACAGCTCCAGAACCAGCCCCCACCCCTTGGGCTCCCATGTGCTCCTCACCGACAAGCACTTTCCTCCCTTCCTGCTTGCTGATGTTCCAGGCCTGCCTTGTGATGTGCTGGGCCTTCCCTCCCAGCTACTCAGGCAGCAGCTCACAGATGCGGCCAGCCTTCAGGGCCCAGCCTTCCCCGCAGAGCAGTTGGCTTCTGGGAACACTTGCTCGAATTTCTAGCTCATGCCCATCTCAGCAAATTAGGGAAATTAACGAGAGGCCTATGCTGATGTTTCAACAGAATCTTCATGCATCCTTGCTCGCTTCAGCTGCTGGCGGTGTCCTGTGTGTGTCAGGAGACTGAGCTCCTTCACTGCTGTACTGCCCAGCCCAGGGGGTGACACACACACACACCAAGCTGGAGCCCCGGGACCCCACCTAACACTTAGCGTAGTTCCTGGCGCTTAGCAGAAGCCCCGTGGTTTGCTGCACTGAATGGAACCTCGAGCATCTGGCTGCCCCTCTGGGAGTTCCCAACATGGAAGGGTCCTCTGTGGCCACCTAGATGTTCATTTACTCGGCAGTCTCCGTGCTCGGCACTGTGGGAGCCCCCAAACAAGGGGGGTAGTTTGTGCCGTTCATAAGTTCCCAACTCCGTGCCCCTTCTAGGGCTCTTCCTGAGCTGGAGGGTAGAGGAGGGTGGAACCCGCTTCTCAAGGGTTCCACTGGACCAGTGTTGGCCTCATCCACATGGCAGAGGCCTGGCTTAGCACTGGTGGCAGGGCCTGCCTCTGGGCATCACCCCTGTGACTTCACACTTCTGAAACAATTCCAGTGACTGTCACGCCTCTCAGAGTAGAAAAGGGACTTCAGAAGACCCAGCAGTTCCTCAGTGACAGAAAACACAGAGGCACAGCTTTCAACTGGCCCATGCCTTGCCCATGCCCACCCTGCCACCCCCACCAAAACCCACATCTCTTTCCCCAGCCCGATGAAGATGAAAATGAACACAAGAGAGGCCAAGAGTCACCTCAAAAAGGCAGCTTGCTTTATTCTCTCAATGCTGATGGGGGGCAGGGGTGGGCAGCCTGTCTGCCTCCAGTCTGAGGCACTCTGAGCTAGAGGGGCCCTGGGGTCTGGGCCTGGTCCACATTTGCAGAGTGGGGTGCAGAGCATCTTCTCCCATGTCAGCCCAGCTGGCCAGGCCCCGGCTCTCTCCGGTCCAGGCCTCTCCCTCAGCTTGGCGTGGGTCTTGTCACTAAGGTCTTCCCCTACTACTTATGTCTTGGCTCTCCCTCCGTCATCGGGGAAGGAAGTGGCCCCCAGGGTGGGCCTCACAAGCCACATCAGAGGCTCCCCGTCCCCATACCTCAGAGTGGAGACCACCAAGAAAGCTGCTTCCCATTTTCCCCTTCCCCAACCCTTCCCCTCCCCTTGCCCCAGCCCTCCCTCTCTTCATTCCCCCCACCCACCTCCTCCCCAGCCATCACTGCGGGTTCCACTTTTGTCAGGCTGCCTGAAGGAGCTGCCAGCCCCCGGAGCAGGTCCACAAAACAGAAAAACAACAATTGGCAAGCACAGAAAGGGGAAAAAAACCACAAAATTCAGGGTTGCCTTTGTCTACAAATAACCAAGGCTCCTGGCCGGGGCAAAGCTGCTCCAAAGCCAGGGATTCTCTTGTGCTTAGGGCAGTCCTCTTGGCCTCTGCTTTCCAGGTCGCCCTTCCTGTCCCCGAGCACCTGGGCAGAGAGCTCTGGAGGGCGCGCGCGCGCGTGCATGTCCATGTGCCAGGGCCTGTGATGCGCACACCCGCCAGCACGAAGCTGAAGGGGTGCCTGCTACGGGTCTGCCCCCCATGCCAGCTGTCGCCGTGGTCGCTGTACTTGGAGAGCAGGAAGTAGCCGACGGAGAGAAGCATCCCTTCTCCTGGGGGCTTCTCTCTGGTCACAAAATCCCGTGCGCGTGCACACACACACACACAGGTGCACACACACAGACAGACACTAGATTCTAAGGGAGAGTAGGGGACAGAGTCTTGGGAGGCTCACTGGACCTGGGCTGGAGCAGAGGGCCTGCGCTGGAGCACAGCGGGGCTCAGACAGTGGTGACAGAGAGCAGAGGGTTGTAGACCCGCTTGCCGTCGGCAGAGCGAGTGCCATGGGCCAGCATCTCCTGGATGGTGATCCAGTTGTCCAGGATCTTCTTGTTCCGCTTCTTCATGGTCTTGCGGTGGCTCAAGGCAATGATATTGAGCTCAGCCTTGCTGTCGCCGTTCTGCTGCTCCCTCAGGCACTCCAGCCGGCTCTGCATCATGAACTCGCGCCGCTTCCGCTGCTCCCGGGCCCGGATCAGGTGCTGCTTCCGCTCCTCCTTGCTCCAGTAGCGGCCCATCTTCATCTCGCTCACCGCGTCATCATCCGTGGTCATGCCGCTGCGTTCCTCACGGATCTTCAGGGCCCGGGCTTTTAGGAGGCGATCACGCACGGGCCGCTTGGCCACATAGCGGGTCCCATCGCTGCGCACCTTAACCTTCCACTCCATGCGAGGTGCTTCGGGGGCCACCGCTGCCCCACCCACCCGAGGACCAGCAGCCAAACTCAGGGGGCCATGGCCCAGCTCTTCCAGGCCGCGCGGCGGGGTCAACTGCACGCAGCTGTGGTAGTGCTCGCTCTCCTGGCCCTGGCCGCGGTGGCGCCGAGAGAGGTAAGGGCTGCCTTCGGGGCCCACGCGCTCCAGGGTCACGCCCGTCTTGGGGCTTCGGCGGACACGCTCCTCTGAGTGCTGTCTCCTGCCCCCCTCGGGATCCCGGGAGAGAGATCGGAACTTGGCGGGGCTCCCCTGTGGGGCAGCTGCCTTGGGGTGGGCGGTGACCGTGGGGCCGGAGGGGGTCCGGTTCAAGTTGGAGTTGCCGGCAGCAGCCCGCCTCAGGGGGCTCTCTGGCAAGGGCTCGGCGAGCAGTGGGGTGCTGCGGCAGCTCTCCCCCGTGTTGTAGGCGCTGGTGCTGTCCTTGTCCGACTTCTCGGGCAGCTCGGAGATGTCAGACAGCTCGTGCTTCTTGGGCTCACTGGCCCCCAGGTCATAGAGACTCTCCTCCTCCAGCAGCCAGGCCTTCATGCAGCGCTCCCGCAGCTGCTGCATCTTCTGCGCCCGCAGGATGTTGCGGCACTTGAACTCCAGGTGCCGTAGCTCCTCCTCCAGCATGGCCATCTCGTGGCCCAGGTTCTCGTTGCGGTTCACATCCAGGGCGCCGTTGCCACCCGAGGCTCGGGGAAAGAGCAGGCCCAGCTGGTTACCATTCTCCAGGTGGCCCCTGATCTCCAGCAGCTCCCGGTAGCGCTCATACTCCTCGTCGGTGAGGCCCGGGATGTCACCAGCCCCCAGCCCTGCCCCCTCTGCCAGCAGCGAGTCCATGCTGAAGTGGAGGTCCCGGCTCTTGCGCAGGGCACCGGGTGTGTTGGCGGCGCTGGCGGGCTCATCCCCCAGCAGGTCATGCTCGGAGCTCTCCTCGGTGCGGGTGCTCTCATCGGTGCGGCCCACCCCACTGTCCAGCTCCTGGCTATTGCTCAGGCCCGTGCCCGCATCGGGGACCCCTTTCTCCTCTTCGTTGCCAAGCTGGGGCAGAAAGATGAGCCCCACTCAGTATGGGTCCCACAGGCCAGGGTCGGGATCAGAAGGGCCTTTGGGTCCAGTCCATCTCCCTCATGCCCCAGCCCCCTGGCCTCCCACCGGCGCTCCCCACTGCCTGCCCTGCCTCCTTCCTCACCTGCTGGGCAGGGGGGGATTTCAGCTTCCGTGCACGCAGCTCCCCCTCATGGTCAGAGCCAAAGTCATCCAGAAAGTCATCCCGGTCACTGTCCTTCCACCGCTTTGCCAGCTGTAGAGACAGAACTGTGCTGTCCCCACCGCTTTAAGGACTGCCCCAGACACCACCCCACTGATGACCTTTTTAGGGCCCATACCCGGTCTCCTGGTCTCAATTAAGTTGAATAACCCGAGAGAGAGGGTGGCCCCGGCACACTCGGCCATCAGAGGCCCAAGGGGAAATGGGCCCCAAAGACACCACCCACCCTCCATCAGTGCCAGGTTGCTGGCATGCCTGTGCCCTTGTCACAGACCAGCAGCTCCCACAGAAAACCCGATGTCAGGGGTCCCAGAATATCCTGCCTGGCGCACACACACCTGGCTCTCAGGCCGGGCCACCAGCAGGGAGATGTTGGTGTTCTCCTCCTGGCTCAGAATGGCCACTGCCTCCTCCCGGTTCTGGACGTCCACACCATTTATCTGCGACAAGCCAAGGGACCATCACAAAGAATGCCAGGGCTGGCTCTGGGGTGGACCCTGCCCTGATGGAGCTGCAGGGACCCCCTCATAGGGAGCTCCAAGCAGAGCACCCTGGCCTAGAAAAGGCTCTTGAGCTCTGACAGGATGGAAACCAAGTGAGCATGTGGCCTCTTCCTGGGAGCCCCCCGGGGCAGTTGTACGGGAGAGGAGACCCAGCCCCAGGTTCAGGCACAGCAGGAGAGAGCTGGGACTGGCTAAGGAGAGGTCACTGAGCAGCCAGTAGAGTGTGGGGCCTCAGTCAGGCCTCCCCGCACACCCCCCCCCCCCCCCGCTCACCTGGATGATACGGTCTCCCTCGCGGATCCGGCCGTCTTTGGCTGCAATGCTATTGGGGTTCACCTGTAAGGCAGATGCATCATGGGGACCTGACGCCCTTCGCTCGGGTTCCTTTTCAGTAGCAAGGGGCAGCCTCACCTTGGGGAGGTCCCAAAGCAAACAAGTCTCCTTGCTTGCTCCCTCTTCAGCTCAGACTGGAAGCTTCCGAGCTCCAGGGGGCAGGGACAAAACAGTGGGTCTTGGGCTAGTCACCTCTCCCCAGCACGAGCCAGCCAAAAGCTCCCCAGCACGAGCCAGCCAAAAGCTCACCAGCCCCTGCCACCACCCCCAGGCCCAGGCCCACCCCCAGCCGGCACTCGTATGCTCCTGTGCAGGGAAGCCTGTTCTTTTCCACGTCAGAGGCTGGGTGAATGCAGGAAACCAAACACTTTCACACACACACACACACACACACACACACACACACACACACACCAGCCTTGGGGCTCGATGGGCAGTAAGATATTAGTACAAAGGTTGACTTGATGAGAGTGTGGGGGCAGCTGGCGAGCCATCCGCCCTCCTGTGGACACACACACGTCTGCCACGGACAGGTGGGGAAGCACAACCCTGTGACTACCAGGAGGGGCTTAGCATCACAGGGCCCAGACCTCAGCCTTGCTCACCGTCCCAGCCTGGGCACAAGTCTCCTGGGGAGGACGGCCTGGCCGAACACACACTGAAGCCGCTAGCTGCCCCGTATGATGCTAAGCAGGCCCCGTCCCTGGCAGCCGGGGCTTTCTGGGCAGCCTCAGAGCCCTGGGCGGCATGGAGAGGCCACAGGGATCGGACAGTGTGCGGACTCTCCGTGTGTCAGACCCCACCTCCGCCCCCGCCACCACAGTGCCCTCCCCTCCCCGCTGCCGGTGCCGTACAGATGGATGCCGTCCACGTCCAGCCCAGATGTCCTACCACACAAAGAGGAGGCATGGAGCCCCACTGCCTCCTAGAAGAGCCACTCCCGCACCCTGCCTTCATACCTCTCCAACGTAGATGCCCAGGTCCTCCTCATCATCCGTGCGGTAGCAAACCATCAGGCCGAGCTTGTCCCGGTGGTTGGTCTTATACAGCTCCACCTCCTGCCACAGGGGCCATGCGGGAAGCAAAGGAAGAAAGCCCCCAAAACGTGTGAGCGAGGAGGCATGCTACGGGGGTGGCAGCCACGGCCAAGCCCCAACCCCAGCAGCACGCCCCCGGAGCCAAGTTTCCTGCCTCCAGCTTGGAGGGTCTCTCTTACCACCCCGAGTGGCGCACGTGTGCCGTGGTCTCCCCTGCCAGGAAATGCCCGAGACACACACGAGACACACAGGACACACAGGACACAGACATGCGTGGGACACAGACTCGCTTACACAGACTGACTAAGGGACCTCACCCATGCCCTCCCCGACTCAGCCCGTGAGCCTGAGTAAGCAGCCGCGCTTCGGCAAGGGCCACGAGGCTCGGCTGCCTGGGGACAAGAGGAGCCAGGCCTGAGCTGGGCTGCAGACAGCCATCCCTGCCCTGGCCTGGCCACCTGGCTCACCTCATACTCCAGCTCGTCCATACGGTCTGCCTCCTGCGGGCCGCCCTCCATGAACTCCGCCGGGTCATAATACTCATGGCTGATGGGGGGGCTGCCCAGGAGAAGGGGGGTCAGGCCAGCCATCTGCTCCTCTAGTGCCCTAGCCCCAGCTCCCGGGCTGGCCGGTCCCAGTGAGCTCGGCATGGAGCCCCTCCTTCTGAGCTACATGCATCCATGCAAAGACCACGAATGCTTCTTGAACGGGAGTGTGCAGGGGTCTGCACTGAGGACACAGGCATGCCTAGCTCTCCCCACCCCATGCCACCCTGTCGCCCAGCCCAGCCCAGCCGGCAGGGTACCAACTTCTCCAAACTGCAGGTGCCCCTCCCACCCGGCACTGGCCCCTACCCCCCCACCCTCCCCCACCCCACCCCACCCCCGGCTCATGCAACGCCCCCAGGAGTTATCCAGGCCCCGGAGGACTGCTGGGGAGTAGAGGAGGACCCACTCTACCTCCAGGGGCAGCCCTCCTTGCCCCAAGGCTAAGTGTGGCTGCTGGTGGCCAGGGGCCTCACTCTCTGCGGAGGAGGGGATCCCGGGACCCCCGCTCTGCAGCACGGGTTTAGATGAGCGGCATGAGCCACCAGGCCTGGATGAGAGGCCCTTCTTCCGACTGGGCCAGAAAAGAAGCCGAAGAGATGGAGGAAGTTCAGAGCAGGGGAGGATGGGACAGACAAGGATGTGAGAGGCAGAAGACGATGGACGGCAGAGGAGAGCGGATGGAGGACAAGAAGGGGCTGAGGCCCTCAACCTTCCAGGAGCAAGGTCCCAGGATGCTCCTCCCTTGGCCCTGGGGGGTAGATACCAAAGGGAGCCTGTGTGTGAAGCCTCCCCCGGTCCCTAGCCTGAGGCTGTAGAGGCCTAGAGATTGCTGAGCCCTTGGATGCCACAGTCAGCTCTGGAGGCCAAGGAGCCTGCTTCCTGCCTGAGAGGGCAAGCCAGTCGGGGTCTCCCTGCCACGCCCAGAGCTGCGGCAACGTAGCCTCCGGGGGGTGTGCCCTCTCCGGAGGCAGGGCCCGGGGCCCTCCTGAGGGCGACTCACAGCTCAGACAGGACGTACGGCTCCAGGATGACCATGGGCGGGGTGGGCGGGCGCAGCTTGCCCAGCGCCATGATATGCTCAAAGGTGATGTCGGTCTGAGTGCCACTGTCCACCAGCTGCAGGTCATGGCATGAGCTGTCCCCCCGGAGGCGGGGGCTGCGTCTCAGCACCTGGATCACTAGAGGCTCCTTGGAGGAGCGCAGGGCCTCCAGGGTTTGCTCCTGAGACAGCTTGGAGAGCTCCTTCCCGTTCACCTGCGGCAGAGACACGCCCCCGTGAGAACCCGCCGACCCACACCCCAGTCTCCTCAACCAACGAGTGTGCTCTCCTCCCTCATTCCCGGGTGAGCCCCACTTCTCAGCCCTACCCCTACACAGTGCTGTCTGGGGATGAGGGAGCCCCCATGACTAGGCACTGGGTCTGGGGGCTCGGCCCCCACCCTAGAACATCCTCCAGCAGGAGCCACCCACACTTCCATCCTCCTCACTCCAGGACCTGCTTCTCGTTCTGGCAGCACCAAGGCCAGAGCACTAGGAGATCTGCGGAGAGTCCCCCTTGGCAATGACTGCGCATCCTGACATCAGGGCTGGAGGAAGACCTTGACCCCTCTCCCAATGGGAGTCAGTCCATAAATGGGTTCAGGCAGGAGGATTGAAAAGAGTATGCAGACATGAAGGACAGGATCTCTGTCCTCAAGGCAATGACGGAGTCGCTGAAGAGAAAAGGTGACACACACAGAGCCTCCTGACATGGCAAGACAACCTAAGGGAGGTGCCAAGGAAGTGACCCTTCTAAGACCACCGCCATTTCTTGGGCACTGATGTGCATCTCCCCCGAATCCTGATCTCAACAACCCATTATGCAGATGAGAAAACCGAAGTTCAGCAAAATGAAGGGAGTGAGTCAAGGTCACGAGCCCGACCGGGCTGCACAGTGGTCTGAGCCAGGGAGAAGGCTGGCCTGGTGAAGCCTCACGGGAAGAGCAGGGCCACAACGGGCGGAGGGTGGAGGGTGGAGGGTGGAGTGCTTTCTGGGGCCAGCTGGGTGGAACAAGGTGTGCCCTCAAGGGACTTGGGGGGCCCAAGGCTGGCCCCAGCCCAGCCACTGATTTCTGCAGCAGCCTGTATGCCTTGGGCCCTGGGATGGTCACTTTTGGGCGAGTGAATCAGGTACCACAAGCTGTGACCCCAGGGTGCTCCTTGGTGTGGAGGCAAGTAGACTAAGGACCAAACAGACACAGCCAGCATTCAGGGAAGGCGCCATGAGAGCAGTGAGGGGCGGGAGGTAGGGATCAGGAAGCAGCTCCTGGAGGAGGGGGATGGCAGGGTCTCCTAATCCACTCAGCGGCTCGTGGAACGGCTGTTCTGGGCCCAGGGAGGACACACACCAGCGGGGATACTCCAAATGGCTACACCTGGTGGGTAACCATGGAACCAGACCTTTGAGAGGCTGCTAAGGAAGCAGAGGGCCGGCCACACCCCATCTAGGAAGGGGGTAGGGAAGGCTCCCTGAGCAGGGGGCACCTGGCCTGCACCTGAGGAAGGGAGAGAGGGAGGCTTGTGAGTCCCTGCCAGTCCGCACGGAGAGTGCAGGGCCCGCGGACCCAGCACCTGCCCACCGAAAAAGGGGAGAAGGGCCGCACTTGGGCACAGTGGCCGGGTTGTCCCGGTCTCCGAATTCCCACAGTGCCATCTCTGTCCCTGGGTGTCTCAGGGGTTTGGGAGTTCTGCAGAGAGATGCCCAATCCAACTGCAAAATCGTGTCTCCAGGCTGCTACGTAACAGACTAACCCCTGGGTGTCATCCCCAGGAGAGGTCTGTCTTAGGAAAGCAAATAATTACCTATCTGCTACTTCATTATGTCCTTGTAGATAAGAATCTCAGTACTGATGTCTCCCCTCTCCACAAACTTTCCCTAGTCAGAAAAATTTTTTTAACCAATCTGGTCTAATTATAAAAGAAACACAGGTTCATCGTAGAACATTTGAAAAATAGAGAAAACCATAAGGAAGAACACAAGCATCTGCCAAGAAGGCATCAGTTGCCAACTAAGGGTAAGTGTGAGAATGTAGTCGGTACCACCGGAGGAGGCAGTACAAAGGCGGGGGGTGGGGGGGAAGGCTGAGTGCACGGGAGAAATTCTTCGGGAAGCTGCAGGCCGGGCAGTGTGGGAAAGGCTGTAGACAGAGGGAATGTGAGGAATGGCCTGGAAGACCCTAGAAGAGGCGATTGTGAAGCTGTCAGGAAATCTGTGAGCCAGCCGTTACCAACACTTTGATGGACTGATCTTACAACGGAATGCATTATATTCAAAACAAAGGCAGTAAGTACTCCAAGCTCATGACTTTCTAATTATTTTACTACACTCTCGTGTTTGTGCCTAGCGTGTCTGGGGACAGGAGATGCTATATAATGGCGTGTGCCTGTGCGTCTCTTCCCGTGCTGGGTGACATCATGCCGCGATGGGGGTATTTACACCACGGAAATCAGCAACTGCTCCAAACCAGGGCTTTTTGTCTCGGACATTGACCAGCTCCCCACTGCCCTTAAGTCAAGGGCTTCCCTAAAATGCAGAAGGGGCTGGGCTGTCCTCAAGATCTCCAAGGGCTACGTGTCCCCCTGAAACTCCCACAGCAGGGCCACAAGTGTGCAATAGGAGGGCTCAGGTGACATGGAGAAATGCAGGAATGTCTTTCTCCCTGGAATCTGTTGGTTAGCCTGCGGCCATGTTGCTATGGAAACTGGGCCCAGAGAGTGGGGAGGGGAATGCAGGGTGGGCTGGGACGTCAAGAGGAGGATGGGCACCTGCAGAGATGGGGTCATCACAGGGAGGCCTGGGATGCCCAGCAGCCTTCCCCTTGACCCACGTGCTCTTTCAGCTTCCTTTCTCCTCTTCCTCAGTCAGTGGATGCTCCCAAGCTAATGAAGATAAGTGGGGCAGAGACAGGCCGTGACAAGTTAGAAATGAGCCCCTCCCAGAGCAGGTGAGGGCTACGGGTAAGGTGGGGAAGTGTGGGGTGATGAGCAAAGTAGCCCGGGGCCAGGCACACAGTACCGACCCAGTGCTCTGCCTCAAGCCCTGCCCTCGTCCTGCCAACATGAGTTACAGAAAGACCACAGGTGCCTGCTCCAGTCTCAGCACGTCTGAACCCAGGCCGGCTTGCCCTCAGATTCCCCACCTTGCGTCACATGCAAATGTCTCCACAGGCCCAGAGGCTCTCCCCACCAAGACACCCAAGACCCACTCCCGCTCACCACCTCCCTCCCCTGCTGCCACCACTCCAAGCCCCTGACAAACAATCCAAACTGGAATCAAAATCCTAAATGGACAAAGCAAAACTGCCTACCGTGGAGGTGAGAGAACAATGTCCATGATGTTGGAATAGAGAATTCTTAAGATAAACAATGGGAAAGCAAGAATGGAAGACATAAATTTGACTATGTTAAAAGTAAAACTTCCGAACAAGGGACAGAAACACAGTGAAAAGATAAGACAGGCTAAGAGAGGATGCTTACAATGCCTAGAACTGATAAAGGATCATCCAGAATATTCTATAAAGAATTCCAACAAAACACTAAGAAAATACAAACAACACAGTAGGAAAACCAGCGCAAACAGAAGAGGGAGCCCAAACCAAGCCACGGGCTGTGAGCAGCATCGTCTTAATAGCCAACACTGGAAGCAGCCCAAGGATCCACCAGGGGCAGAACGTATCAAAAGCCCATGCTGGGGCGCCTGGGTGGCTCAGTTGGTTAAGCGACTGCCTTCGGCTCAGGTCATGATCCTGGAGTCCCGGGATCGAGTCCCGCATCGGGCTCCCTGCTCGGCGGGGAGTCTGCTTCTCCCTCTGACCCTCTTCCCTCTCGTGCTCTCTATCTCTCATTATCTCTCTCTCAAATAAATGAATAAAATCTTTAAAAAAAAAAAAACCAAACAAACAAAAGCTCATGCTGTGTTCCTACGTGTGGTATATGGAAGCACTCCTGCTCATTAATGGCATAAATAGGAGAAAACGTGCATCAGAATGACAAACCCAAATCCCTCCGGCGAGGGAAGGAAAAGAATGGGGTCAGGAATGGGTGTGCACAGGCGGCTTCAAATCTGCCTTTTTAAGGAAAAAATGCTGAGGCCAACGGGCCAAAATCGAGGTGGGTGGCAGTACGCGGCCGATGCCAAACTGATGCGCCATACTTTTCTGTATTTGAGAAATATTTCAGAACAGTTGCACGTGGAGGGGCAGCCAGGGGCAGGGAGGCCAGTCCCCTACTTGGGGGGGCTAGGTCCGCGGGAGAAAATGACCTGTTAGTACTAAGAATAGCGGCTCCCGTCGGCTCGCGGGCCCCTCTGCGGGCCCCTCTGCCAGGCTGCGGTCCCAGGGCTCTGCGCAAGCGCGTCACGCGTCGAAGCGGCGGAAGCGCAGGCCCCGGGGGGTGAGGACCCCCCCCCCCCGCCACCCTCGGCGGCGGTGAGTGGAGAGGCCGGGGCACGCCTCCTGTGCAGCAGCGCTGAGGAGCCCCGTGGGAGAAACCCCTCCCTGCCATAGAAGAGTTGGGGGTATTGGGAAGGGGGTCCCCGTGAGGGTGGGAGGGGGTGAGGGCAGAGGGCATGGGAGTGTGGGCGCGTGGGAACGGGCACAGAGGTGTGGGTACAGTGCTGTGAGGGTGGCCTTTGCGCAAGGGGTGGGTGTGGGATCAGGGAGTGGGTGGCTTGTGTGGGTGGGCGGTAGGGCTTGGTGGTAACAGGAGCAGATCTATGACCCTGTGTTGAACCCCCTTCTTCTGGAGGGTCTTCTCGTGCCCTCCCGCCCCCGGCCACCTCCCCACTTAAGCTCTAAACGCCAGCCTCTATCATTCCCTCTCCTTCCTGTATCCTTCTTTCCTCCCTCAATAGCTTCTCATCACTTCCCGCCCCCCTCCTGTCACCTACACCCACTCTCAGGGACAGGTGCCCAGGTGTATCCATCCCTGGCCAAAGAGTCACACTCGCTGGCAAGCAAACCCATGCCGAGGGAGCCGTGAAAGGCCCAGCGGACACCCAGGGAGAAAGCGGAGCATACTAAGCATGTAGCACAGAGGGGACCCTAGTAGACCCAGCACGTGGGCATGGCTTGACAGCCCCGAGCCTTGACTCCCCTCAGGCTGCCAAGCAGGCTGGCTGCAAGACTCATTCACTTTCCGGCCTGAGAAGGCCTGAGGGGGCCCGGTGGAGGTCAAAGGCTCAGCATGGGCCAGAGGACGGACAGCAAGCACATCCT